GAATATAGGCAATTAAATCTAAAATTTAAGACTCAAACCCTCTATTTTTTGAAGTACAGTAAGCCGAGCCAAGAATCGTGTACTTATTATTACAAGTAAGTGAACTGTTTTTGCTGTTTTGAAGATGGTTTAGAAATATAGGAAATTTATCGGAAAAGACATTTTTTAAAACCTGTCATGGGCCGTCCAGAAAGAAGACAAAGGGAAAAGAAATGGGCAGAGTGGATATAAGTGTAGGCCTACTGTTCTTTAGTTTTAAATTTATTAAACACTTTATTAAATGTTTTTTTCTATTAAAAAATTGCTCTCTGAACTATTTTGTTATTGGTAAAAACTCCTCAGAATCGCTGAGAATGCATATTTAGACACCATTTTGTAACAAAAATTCAAAAAATTGTAAAAGCTCAATCCCCACCTCTAGCAGCTCACGCCAGCGGCGTTCGATTATATAGTCGGTCCTTTTATTTCACAAACGAACCCGAACAACTTGCTTCCAGCCTCTGTATGAACACTTACAAATTTCTAAAGAAAATAGTCTTTAAATTATTATTGGGATCGAACACTACTGGGAATGGAGCCGGAGCTGGAATCTCAGTAGTGTAAATATTTCTAGTTCTTGTAGTGTACATGAGAGAATAAATCGTGAACAGTGGCTTGAAGATTTGTCTTTAGATTAGATTTCGTATCATTTGCTGCCTCAGGGATTAGAATTGTTTGCCAGAAAATGATCCTGAAAATACCCACAGAGTGCGTTTTAGAGAGTCTAGTTTTCAAAAAATTTCGGGGGAGGACCCCCAACCCCCCTCTTTACCAATAGTCGCCCGCGCATGGACTGTCCCCAACACTAATTTTTGCCGATCTGCTCCTCTGCAGTTTAATGATCAAAATATCGGATTTACAAATCATATTAAATTTAAATATTGTCATTGTCGATGACCGAAAGTGACAATCGACACTATTTGCAAAATAAAGAAATATAGCTATAATATTGAATTGTTTATTGCACTATATATACCATAATATGTTTCATGCATATAATTACAGTTTTAATAAACTAGTAATCAATCACTAATTACAATACATTACAACGAATTGCAACCAAAGTATACATAGTTTCTTGTCAACAAAAATCACATAAACGAGTTATCTCTCATGAACTTCCGATTTGGGCCCAAAGCAGTGAGGCTTCTTAAACTCAACGTAATTGTTGTTTTGTGTTTCCACAGTCAACAGTTTCTTTGTGTTGTTATCATAATCATGATGCATATGTTTTGAAATGAATTCCGGTAGTCGTTCAAATAAATACACCTACGGCGCCTTCATCTGGCCTGTGGAGAGATCGAAATGGTTATTCGTTATATTATAATGTATTATGCATTTAAAATAAATTAGTTTTGTGGGAAGAATCGGGGGTTTTCGAAGTGAAATCCAGAGATTATATGTGAATTCCGGTGATTGTAAATGAATTCCGGTGTTTAGTCGGGTCCCGTTTCACCCACCACTGGATGTCAGAAGCCGTTCTCCACCAGTTTAGCGTCTGTACGCGGTCTAGTTAGTATAGGCATCATTGGTTACGGCCATAACATCCGGGCACTTTTGAGTTAAAAAAATAGGTTACGTGATCTTGTTTTGAAATTAGTCTCGCTTAACCAGTCTACCAACCATTTTCCGCCTGATTGACTGGCTGGGATAATCAAAACTAGTATCATGTTCTTGCCTAACCTGAGTGTTTCAGAGATATTATTTGTACTAAACCAAAAGATTCCGCTGCTAACGGTATAGTTGATGATGAAGCAATTTAAAAATAAAACGAACGTAATTTCTAAAGCTGTTGTAATAATCAAAAGGTTAAATATTACTGCTATTCAGAATCGCCAAATAGATTTTTTTTTACGGCGGTAATAGTTGATAGATGTGTAGAGAATTTCACGTGCGATGGCTATTTATAGACTCATACGAGTGTTATCGTACTGCGTGACTAGCCAGAAATCACTTGACAAGCCACTGAAGCTTGCACATTCGCTGTGTCGAGTTCAACTTTCAGTAGAGAAACTTTTCGCTGCACGGGGCACCCTAACTCTATTACATTTACCGGTGTGAAACGGGTCACGATAAAGTCAAAGTGGCAAAGGAATTGATATTAATTCTAATAATTGTCTGAATGGTCAATTCGTTTATGCTCTTACTCATTATTCGTGAATATGGTATACAATATTATACTTCATAGAAAAATATCAGATTCACATAATTCATCTCCTTCGTCTGTAAATAATAGAATTGTGGCTTCCTTATTTTTCTCGTATCGTAACATTCGCCATTGGTGTTTAAATTACAGTTAACGTGTATATTTATCTACAATATTGTCGTTCAAAAAATAAATTGTTGTCTCTTTTGAAAAGTTTTAAAAATAATCCAGGATACTTTCTTTCATCATCTGTCTATGCCCACAGTGTGTACTTCCAATAGGTCTTTTTCCAGGAGCCAGTAAACCCCATTGTTATCTGTTGGTTTCAACATTACATTCTGAAATTATTTAGCTTATATACATTATGCAAGATTTAGATAAAGAGCTAGCCATTCTTGCTATAATAGTTCGAAAATAGATAATGTAAAATGAATAATTTGAAAATTTCATTCCAATTACTTTATTGCGAGCGAAGATATTAACATTTGACAAAGCTGAAGGTTTGACAAGACGAGTGCAATACTTGCAACCAACGTACTGGTTGTTCGAAGCTAAGTCTCGCTCCTCCATTTTTAAATTAAATTAAAATATGGCTAAACCGTTCTAATCTATTTAATATCGGAGAAATCCGATGCCATCAAGAGTTGATTATGGCCTGGATCAGTTAATTAATTTCTAATTAATAATTTAGAAAATATTTCAGGCCTAAAGAAAGTCCTGCAGTAGGCAGATTTAGCTCTTGCATAATGAATGTTTAACATATCTCTCTGATAAAGTTTTAAGTAATTCGCCCATAGACATTATGAGTATCAGACGTGATACTGGTATGTTTTGTAGGACATAGTTCCATCTTGCTGTTACATTACACAGCTTATAAAGCTGTTGTAGTGCTGTTTTATGGGTGTTGTAGCTTATTTCAACACGGGGGGGTTGGATGGCTGAAGGGTTAACACGTGCGCGTTGTATCATTAGGTCTGTCATTGGGTCAACTGGCGTGGTTTCGATTCCCCAGTTGTACCTGACAAGGAATAAGGTCGCCTGTCCAACCTCGTGGGTTTTCTCCGGGTCCTCCGGTTTCCTCTCACTGCTAAAGACCCCTACGCGGAAGCGAATTATTGAAATATTGAAATAAAAATGAACCATGTTAGTCCCGAAATGACCTAGTTTGTGTCGAGTGGACGTTAAACCCCCATTTCTCTCTCTCTCTCTCTCTCTCTCTCTCTCACACACACACACTAACTACGATAATTAGATAACTAGTTAAAATTGTACTTTTAATAAACGAGTGTCACAATAACGAGGTAGGCATCGCTAGGGCGAGCCGATCACCAGACTAAACTTACAGTAGAAAATAGAACATATATACTAGCTTCTAGGAATAATATTTGATAAGAAATGAATGTTAAATTGCACATACGAAACTGTTCACCTAGTCTCTTATGGTTAGCGCTCTTTTAGTTTTCAAGCCCCTGTTTTTAAAAATAATCCACCATTTAGTTTAAGATGTTGAAAATTTCTATATTCTTTTGACAAAAAAAAAAAAACTTTTAAAAACACATTTATTTAAACAAGCTTTTATCTGGCTCTGTATACAACTGTTAACATGTCCATCTTGTTTTTTTTATGATTACATTGTCACTTTTTAAAGTGCCCCTAAACACGTTATATGAAATGGCGCAGTATAAATATGCTGTAATACTAATTATAATATGGACAGTGCATTAATGCGTGTTAACTATAATTACGTAATACATATCGCCAATGTGTACACGGGACCTCGGTTTTTCGTCCCATCCGAACGACTAGACAACTGTCCTTGTCAGGCCCTCCGTCCTGCATCACGGACAAGGGGGAACCACGCCGGAAAATCTGGATGAACTTTCTCGGCCAATGCAAGGATCGAACACCCGCCCTCCAGGGTAGCGAACCAGCGTCTTACCCACCTAGCCACTGAAATTTAAACATTTCTATAAGTTATGTTCGATTTTAAAATTAGTTAACTTGATAAATAGTGTTGTTTGTGTATGTAAAACGCATGAATATTTGCGTTGTATTATGTTTATTTATATTATAAGTTAGACGATAAGAGTGTTTATGTTGTTTCATAGGAATTTTACTAAGTTACATTCCCTGAACAAAACTTCTGCACATAATACAAATCAAATATATATTATTCGTTGTACATACGATAAAAAACGTGACAGTTAATAAAGAGAATAGTTCAGTTACTACGTTTGGCTGGTTAGTATTGTATTGTATTAAGGTGGATATATATGTACTGACGATAAATATAATCCTTCGATATTTACTTGACTCAATTGAAAAAAGAAATTTGATAGTCTTCAAAACATAAAAAAGATAATCAGAAGTACTATCACTTTTAACTAAACCTTTTTACATGTAAGTACTCAAACGTTTTGCTTACTTAAGGAATCATATTTGTTCAGATTTATTACTTGCATTTTTAAATTCGTAACAACAACTGATGCTAGCCATCGCCTTTTGCCTCACGATTTCGAGTTCTGAAATCTGATTTCAAAAGATCGCTTCAGATAACTACAAATAGTAAAGGTTGGTATAAAGGAGACAGACTATGGTCTAAACACCTCATGACATTTCTCATAGAAAAGTTATTTTAGCATAGTTTGCTATATTCTGTAAATTATGATTCCACGATGATTCTGACTACTGTCAAAATTAAGTGAACGTATTTAGTCTACCTGAGATTATTGAAATTAATATATGTACGGGGAATATTAGCATCATTCCAATTTCAAAGGTCCATATCATTTGTCAAAATGTAAGGTCCAAAGTATTAGAGTCATTTTACGACTGGCCCAGAAACTCACCCCCGTTCGATTTCCAATAATGTTTTGCTTTATTTTCAGAACTTGCCGTAATTTACCTCTTCAGAAATTTACTTTACTTTATCTATAGAGATGTCTGCATGTGATACTCCTCCAGCGCTGACTAATGGCAAATCAACATCTGTATCCAACACGACGGTGGAGTTTCAATGTTCATCAGGTTTCAAGATGTCTGGATCATCTGTTGTTAGCTGCGACAGCACTTCGGGTTGGGGATCCTTGCCATCTTGTACAGTGATTGAAACAAATAACACTTTTTATACATCATTTGGTAAATTGTACTTGTTTATGCGATTAACCACAAAGTAACGCGATTTTACATTTAATATTCATTCTGGCATTATTTCATTGTTTTCAGACAGTGTTTTAACCTAATGCAAAGGTATAATATCATTCACATTCACTTAAAGTTCCACGTCACATCAAATAAATAAATAAATACAATTATGAGGATCAACAGCAGAATCATAAGATTGTTTTTCTCCTTCGAACCGTGTTAAGATGAAAATATATTTATTTTGATTGGACATATTTTTATTTTTAAGCTCCAGAATGGTTGTTGATATTACTGGGTTTTTTATTTAGCTTATTAACATTAGCTTGTATTGCTGGTCTTTTATGGTATTGCTGTTGGTAAGTATACATCAAGCCTATGAAATCAAACATAGAACTCCCTGGCGGGTTTCGTGCAGCATACTGACTACACGTATACGACTTTTTAAAGCAATATAGAAAAAATAAAGGTTAAAAATGCCTAAAGAAAGTATACTATTGTTTAATTGTCTACATGTTTCGCCTGAGCTTTTTAACCGTTATTTTTTTCTATATTAACACTACTACGGTTTTAACTTCATACATCTATTGATATATATATATATATATCTAAATAGCAGTTAAATTAATAGCTGCTCAGTGGTGAAATGTACAATATGCCAAGGAAATACTGTACACCATTTAACGAAACCACGTATGTCCAATTACAAACAAATGATAGTTTATGGTTTTTCCATTTATAGTAAACCATGGGGAACAACCGTTTATCCGGCAGGTAGTGGTGCCAGAGGTGGCTTATGTCAGTGTTGTAGAGGAAGTGTTGGTCAATCACAGTATGCCAGAAATAAAAGGATGCACAATGCTGAATATAAAGCATCAAATAGGAGAAGTGAGCGTAACATAGAGGACAATGTAACTCATCATAACGTTACTACAGCTCGTGTTACAGATCATCAACAGAACGATATTTATCAATTGAATCAACGTCCTAAAGGTGTTTATACTACAAGTGATGGTGTTTTGTTGGTACCAGTACAATCATATGAGGTAAATCAAACTGGCTAATTCTATGTCAAATGCATATTGATTTCCAGCGAGAAATTGTATTTGAAACTTTTGCTACTTTGTCTTAATCGCCATTTGAAAAAGTTTACAGGTCTGTTAGAGTCAAGCACTATTTTGGCGTCATTTTCAAATGGCTTAATATTTAGACTTAACATTCTCGGGCTATTTGTAAATAAGCTGTTTCTTCATATTTTGGCATTTGTTTTGCATACTTATACGACCCTTTTTTCAGAGACCCTTTCAAAACTAGAACGCTTACCTTAATACAACTAAAGTATATGCAATTAGATTATGTGGTAATATTTCAAAACAAATACAAATTAGACAGACTGTTATAACCCCAAAATAGTATGTAGGGCACCCTAGGGTGGTTAGGGCACCCTGAGGTATTTGATCTCGGGGCACCCTGAGGTATTTGAGCTTATGGCACACTGGGGTATTTGAGCTTACGGCAACCTGAGGTATTTGGCAGCGGCACCCTAAGGTATTTGATGTCGGGGGTACTTTGAGGTATTTTTTTTTGTAAACAACATTTTATTTCATTCGAAAATGGATTGGAGAACAGGCTGGGCCTATGTTGACTCCTCTCCAGAATTTACAAAAGTAAGTTTAATTTATGTACATACAGAACATCCATATATACAACAAGAACATATAAAAATACAAAATATAAAATTATTTGAGATTTAAATATAAAATAAACATTTATACATATGTTGTCCGTTCCGTTACTTTATATTAACATGGTACTAATGTAGTAGTGTTGCAAACCCCCTCCCCTCTATATAAGACGTATCTAATCGTGAAGTATTATTTGGTATATTGTATAGAGTAAATAAATTAATAACAGACGGGATGATTTGGACGTTAGAAACGTTTTGACAATTTTAAGAAATTATGAACAGAGTTAAAAATGAACTGATTTTGATCAACTGAGAGGACAATCTGACCATTTAAAGAGAGAGAGAGAGAGAGAGAGAGGGAGAGAGAGAGAAATGGGGTTTAACGTCCACTCGACACAAACTAGGTCATTTCGGGACTAACATATGGTTTTTAATTTTATTTCAATAATTCGCTTGCGCGTAGGGGTCTTTAGCAGTGGGAGGAAACCGGAGGACCCGGGGATTCGAAACCACGCCAGTCGACTCAATGACAGACTTTATGATACAGCGCGCGCACGCTAACCATTCAGCCATCCAACCCCCCCACCATTTAAAAAAATACTAATATCTTGAAATTGCTGCTTTAGTAAACCAATAGTTTGACCTCGGGCACCCGAATGCAAGGAGCATACTAGTAGATAATGATAACAATCTTCAAAATGGTGACCACACGCGCAGGCGGTGTTATCCGTTAAAAGTCTCAAAAACTTATGACCATTTAAATCGCTGCGGCCTAATCTCAGTTTACTATGTATTATTTGATTTTTTCTATCTCCAATATAAAAGTACTGTGGAATAATATGGTCGTTTTTAATCAAGCTTGAAACAAATGATGAGACAGAATTTGAATTATTTGAGGTATTTGGCTGCGGTACTTTGGAGGATGCGGGCCTTTGACGGTTGCGGCAGTTCAGGCGATTTACAAATGATCATGTGACAAATACGTAATTTGAATGATTGATAGAGGTCATCGGTTGTACTTGTTCATATGAATATGAGTTTGAATGGTGTGGGGGTTCGCGAAATGTTTTATTTGTACCGCGCATGGACCCCGCGTCGCCACGACCCCGCGTCGCCACGACGCCGCGTGTTTTTTTGTCGTCACACCACCCCAAAGACCAACACGTCTTAAATTCTAATTATAGTTAATTGTATTTGTTCATTTAGTTTTGTTATTTCCTCATTTAGTTGATTATTTATAATTAAGTTAATTATCTATAATCTAATTATTCATAATCTAATTACTTTTTTTTTTCATGAATTCTTTTTCATGAATTATTCATAATTTTTTTTCATTAATTATTTTTTTCAATAATTATTTTTTTCAATAATTATTTTTTTCAATAATTAATTTATTTTTTTCAATAATTAATTTTTTTTTTCATTAATTAGTTTTTTTTATTAATTAGTTTTTTTTATTATTTTTTTTTCAATATTTCTTTTTTTTATTTGTTTTTATTTTTAAATTATTTTGATTTATTTTAATTTGGTGAAATCATTTACCGATCTGGTGGCATATTTGAGTTTTTGAATTTCACGACTGAAATAGGGTTTTATATAAGAGAAATGAAACGAGGTTTAACTATCCAGCACATACTGGCTAATAGGGACTGATTACTATTTTGGAACTTGAATATTCCCAGATTTAACCAATCAAATAATTGTAGTCATTTGTAGTATTAAGTAATATGTTAATTAGGAAATTAATTGTTTTATATTGATTGAGGTTAATTAAACTCGCGTAATTGTTAAAAAAAATACAAGCTGAATGTCGTTAAAGTATGAGAAATGTTGTTTTTTTTTTAAAAAATAATTGTAGTCATTATCGTATTAATTAATATGTTAATTAGTATATTAACTGTTTTATATTAATTTAGGTTAGTTCACTAAGAATGCTGCTTTTTATTCTAGCATTCGAAATATATTCAAGAAAAAAAAAAGTGGTTAGTTCTTTAGAAACAAGGTTAATATTACATTATGTATTTAACAGATGTTTTTCGGGGTCGTAGGTGAACTTTTGACCGATATACTAAAATACTAAAAAACTATGGACCTATTTGATTATGTCAATACCCTCTGTATTCTTTCTATGCCAGTTTTTAATTTGAGTTTTTAGTTTTTATGACTAAAATTGGGTTTTATATACCACTAGTGAAACGAGGTTTAACGTCCATACTGGGTAATAAGGACTAGATTGATATACACGCTTTTTTCTTTCTTATTATCGGGACTAAAAATATATATATCTTTACTTCTAGCTGATTAAAGTCGTGTGCGACAGAATAGAGTACGTCTGTTATATTTCCTAACTTGAATATTCTCAGATTTAACCAATCAAAATCTAAAAATAGAGCGGGAGGAACAGAGATGTCAATAAGGGTAGATCATACTTTACCAAATAGGATTTGGTTTTGGGTTTTTTTTCCTGAGAAGCAAAAAATTAAAAAAAAAACTGTAGATAGTTAAGGTATTAGAAATGTTTTTAAAAAGAAAACAGATTACTAGATAACTGTAGTCATTATAGTATCTGTTAATTAGTATATTAATTGTTTTGATTAATTGAAGTTAGTTCACTAAGAATGTTTTTTTTTTTTTTTTTTATTCTAGCATTTGACCCGTCTTCATTAGCCCAGCATAGGGGCAGAACAGTAGGACGTTAAACCCCATTTCATTTCATTTATTTCTAGCATTTGAAATATATTTACGAAAAATAAAAATGGTTAGTTCTTTTAAAACAAAGCCAACATTGTATAATGTACTTAACAGATATTTTAATAGGTGAACTTTTTACCGATTTGGAATGTGTTTTATAACCAGTGTCTGAGCTGTGCCAGATGGTTTAGCTATCAAATTACAAGGCAAACCACTTTGGAGTCATCTGATATTCTTGAGAATTGAAGAATGTGTCTTTTGCATAGAAAAGTTTGACAGGCGTTTATATTACCCGTGCCTTCGCTGTGCCAGATGTTTTAAATGTTTTCAAAGTTTTTGCTTTATTTTGTGACAATCAATGATTTATTTTTGCCATTTATTAATCTAATCAAAGTATTTATTTTATTTTGGGAGATGAAATTTTACTTGTTGACAAAATATTTTGGACACAGAAAATTTGATTTTGTTAAAGTAAATCCAACTTAATAAATGATGACACCCCCCCCCCCTCACACACACACACACACATACACGCACCAACCCACACACACGCACACCAGCTAACCAAAATATACAGCTCCACACACATCCACCCACATCGCAGTGCACATATTCACACATTATTTGTACATTTCAATCGTAAATTAACCTATTCTTACACACAGAATATTCTGAATTTTAATGTATTTATATCTTTAAAGGGCGCTTACGTATACAATCGTTTACGTCCTCAGATGCTATAGATTTGCATTAGTTGCTTACCTTATAATCAGACGACTTTCGATGGGTTGTTTACTCACAGTTTGACATTTTGACAGTTAACTGTCAGAATGTAATTCAATGTTAACACACACGTACTTCCCTATACTTGGCACGAATTATATACCCGTCATAAAATTTACACATTTCCCAGCGCTTTGAAATATCTAATACATACTATAACATATGTGATTTGCCGTTAACGTGTAAGAAATGTTATTTTAAAAAAAAGATAATTATAGCCAATTTTGTATTAAATAATATGTTATTAGCATATTAATTGCCTTACATTAATGGAGGTTAGTAAGACCACAACGTACATGAATAGGGATGTTTCTGTTCTAGTATTTGAAATATATTTAAGTAAACACAAAAGTGGTTAGCTCTTTGAAAACAAGGCTGACATTACATTATGTACTTAACAGATGTTTTAACAGATGTTTTTTTTATCGTGTCGTGGGTGATCTTTTAAATGATATACTAAAAATACCTGTGACCTATTTAAATATGTCAATATGGACTGTATATTCATACTCAACCTCTCCCATGCACACATACACACACACACGCGCACACACGCATGTTCAAGACACACTCGGTCACCAACATGCACACATACAAAGACACACCCACCATCCTCATGGACTGCCACACCCACACACAACCCTCCCACCACACACACGCTCAAACACTCACTGGGTCTCCGGCATGCATACATACACAGGCACACACACACATACCCCCCCCCCCACACACACACACACACAAAAACAAACACACTGCTACACCAACGCACAAATGCTGGTTCATCATTTTTATCGTCAAATATAGATAAGGTAATTTAATTTGAACAAAATGTACTAACTTTTGCTTTCTTTTCTATCGACGTTTTACAGTCAAATACATTTC